GGTGCACCCGTTGATGTCCGCCTCGCAGTAGCCCTTGGTCGCCTGGCCGCTGAAGCAGGAGCAATCGGAAAAGGTCTAAAACATTTGATGATAAAAATTTTTAAGTTTTAAAACAAAACCTTTTAAAATCTAAACAATTACCGAAGACTTTGCGTCGTAGCTTTTGCAGCCTGCATGACAGGGCGAAAAGTAAGTGGTCCTCCTATCGGCCGCACAGAGCGGCGAGTAGACGCTCTTCGAGCAGTGACAGTTTGCATTGCAGGTCGAGGCCAGCGAGAAGTTGTCCTCATCAAACACTGAGGAGGTACTTCCTTTAGCTTTTCCCTCTTCAAAGTGCCCATCAATGGCCAGCGGCGCACAGCCGTAGATGAAGCCGCTGATGAAGCTGAAAATGAGCACTGCTTCGCAGATGAAGACGAGAATGAAGACAAATCGAGGCCGAGGTTTGAGGTAGCTGAGCGCCGCCCCGCCCAGCAGAATGCCCACCGCCGAGGGCACAAAGGAGGCGGCGCCGGTGATCAGCGAGGCGGTGCTGCTCGACTGCCGGTACTGCGCCTCGATGTACTTCGACTTGTAGACAATGTAGCCAAAGATGCCGAAGAGGCGGAAGGAGTTGGCGAAGAGACAGCACATCACCAGCGGATTGGTGACGATGCGCTTGAAGGCGCCCAGGCTTCCTGTTATCAGGAGAAAACAAATTTGGTTTTAGAATAAATTTCGAGTCTTTTTCTCCAGTACTGAAGTAATTACCTCCTCCTTCTTTGATTTTCCGCTGCACCTCTTTGGCCTGAACTGAAGCAGTTTTAAACTGCGCCGGAAAGAGGAACATCGGCAGAGTGGCCACGAGGAGCAGCGCTCCAACCACAATAAAGCTAATCCACCAGGCGCCAATGAAACGGGGGTCAGTTCGTGGGATGCCCGGATCAACTGATAAACAAAAAAAGTAAAAAATAAAATTAAAATGAGGATCAAGAATCTCAAAGCTCTACAAACAGGTTTCACTTACTAAACGGATTCTCGTAGAAGCGGAGCGAAAAAGAGGCCAACATAAAGCCGCTGGCCGGGCCGATCAACCGAAGCGAGCTCATGATGCTAATGTACATTGGAGTGTTCTTCTTTCTAAAATGAAGTGGTTATTAGAAAGTACATTAATTTTCAATACTATAAACTTAAATTTCAAAATCCATTTGCACTCACTTTGAGTTATCATCCAGATAGGGCAGACCAATGACAATGTAGCAAGTGTAGCCTAGGCCTCGCATAAAACTTCCAAAGAGAAGAAAGCCGACCGCGGGCCATATGGTGGCACTTGTTGAGCTGGCTTCAGCACCTAAACTCCCGGCAAAAGTGCCTCCCGAGCCCTTACACTCTTCCGGCTCCGCGTCCGGGGAGCACATCGAAAGGTGGGCCGAGCTGGAGTTCCTCAGCTGGCTTGACAGGGACTGCTGCTCTGAAGAGCTGAGCAGATGGGTCGCCGGTCCGTAGATGAAGTAGGGCGCGGCGGTCATGAAACAGGAGCAGGCGAGAATCACCTCACCAAAGGCGATCAGCCGAGCTCGGTTGAAGCGAATCGCCAGGTAGCCAACGAAAGGATTCAACTAAAAAAGTGGTCAAAACTTTACTTAAAAGTACTTTGAAAAAAGGACGTTACTGCTGAAGGAAGGCCAACTGCTTACCGCAATCTCCGCAAAGTTGTCCATGATCATAATTAGGCCGGTCAGCTTTGAGTCGTAGCCGAAGCGCTTCTCCAGCGTCGAGCTGCAGCCGTAGAAAACCGGCCCGGTCATTCCTGAAGTAAACAAAGTGTAGTAAATTGGTAAATGTATTCAAGTACTTTTTCTTTTTCAGCATTTACTTACCCTGAATAATGCCCACCATGCCCATGACCCACATGAAGTAGACAGGACTGGCGAACTTCTGGAGCCAGGCCGGGCGCCAGGCGCCAATGCCGCAAGAGGTAAGTCGGGAGTTGTCCACATCGCCATCACCTTCTCTTTCATTTTTGTTCTTGTCAAAGTAGCTTTCAGGCTCTTTCAGTCTTCTCTCTTCGGGTGGCATTGATGATGATGATGATGATGGTGATGGTGACGGTGAAGGGTAAGTGGATGTTTGGATGATTTGGCAAAAGTATGAATGTGAGTGTTAATTGATAGTTGATAGTTTTGGTTAATTAAGAATTTCTATTTAGTGTTTGCACTTTTAAGCGCTAGTGCTGAACACTGTTAAAAGTACACTGTCAACCTAGTTTTAGTCACTGCTGCCGGTGATGAAAGCGTGGAAAGTAAAAAAAGTTTTCAGTCTCCAATTTCACGACTGTCACTCTGTTACTCGATTTTTTTCTCTCTTTCTCCTTCTCCTTTATTCGTTGCACTTTTTATCAAGTTAACAGCCTTATCAGCTTGTAAACTGCAAAGAAAAGCCAAAAACTGCTGCTGCTGCTGCTGATAACTGCTGAAAACTGAGCCCCATTGAAAGCGCGTTATGCACCCAACAGACAATTTTCAGTTTTTGTTTGTTTATCATTACCATTAAACTGGTCAGTTGACTCTTCTTCCTTCAGTACTAAACTGTACCAAGCTGTAAAAGAGCTAAGAACAAAGAGGGCTGATTTAGAGTACTGAATTGAAAGTTGGCAAACCAGAAAGAAAGAGCAATAGAGGGAAAAGGAAGTCAGCGCACAA